CGAATGTGCAAGGATAGATGTATGACGATTACGAATAGATAGGTGTTGTAGAAGGCATAAGGTTATAATTGTTCTACATACAGAACATTCCAATATTCGTGGAGAATGTTCTCTATATTCCCCCCGCCCCCTCGGAAGAACGCAGGGACTAGGTGTTTGGGACGAGTCAAGCCGTTTGAGTCGCCCTTGATAATAGGCCTGGCACTTTGTGGAGCAGTGTTTGTATCGCGACGCTGGTTTGTCCTGTGGGGTGGAAACGTCTTGTTTGGGTTGCAGTGTTGGCTTGGTGATGTCGGTTCCCGTTTGTGTAACTGCGTGGAGAAATGCTTTGATTGGTGTTTGTATGGTAGCGTCTTTCTGTGGTGCTCGTGGAGTTTGAGTAGCCTTGTCCATTTTGGCTGACATCTGGAATTGTTTATTAATATTATGTTACAGTATTGTATGGAGAAAGCACGGTAGTGTATAGCAGAGCAGAATAGTAGAGCAGGTTGAGTGGAAATTTTGGATTGTTGAACGGCGAAAATACGATGGCGAATAGGAGAGCAGAATAGTAGAGTAGGTTGAGTAGGAGTTTGGAGTATGGCATATGTTGAGCGATTTACAGTAGCTTGGTGTGCGTAGGCGTTGAATTTTTACATGGAATTAGGCGTATGAGACAAATTGATCTGCCGATATTTCGTAAAAGTAACTTGGTTACTTTAAACATACATAATCCGACTTGGTTCGTACAAGTAGGTAGACATGCGTAGGTGAGCACGAATATTATAATTAGAAGAATGGAGACAGCAATAAGTGTTTTATAGTGATTCATGAATGTATCGGCTATGTGCCAGAAACCTGGCCATTGGAGTTCGAAATCCGTGTTTGTCTGTCCTTTCAGCCACGTGTCTACTAAGCCATTGGTGACGCTCGTAAATTTTAGTAGGCCTCTTATTGCGAAAGTAGTAGGTGTGGAACCGCATGTGACTGTGCATTTTTCGTCGATTCTGGCGTGGCTGAAGCTAAATTGGAGTATTGAGGGTTGTCCATCGTTGTTGCACGGTATTGAGAAGGTCGCTGAAGGGCATACTATTTCTGCTTGGATAGGTCTTAATGATTTACATCGCACCTGTGCTTTTGATCCTTTGCGGCAGCGATAACATCCTTGTAGTACGGTATCGTCCACAGTACATATATCTTTATCTACTACGATATTGGTTTCGAGTTTATTCTGAATGTTGAGGATCACTTCTGCTGTTGTCATACTGAGGACTTTTGCAGTGATTTCTCCTTCTTGGTTTTGTTGGAACGATATCGAAGGGAGGATTATTGGTAGCCTGTTTTGCACGTTGTTGAGCCATGATGCGATTTTTACGTCTTCACATCTGCAATTAGCATGCGTTTCCGCTGGATAGCAGATGCAATCGCTTTCCATCGAGCAGTTAAGGTTTTCAGCTGCTGCTTGGTTCGCGCATCTAAGGGGTGGCGTTATATGGAAGTTCCAGATTGCTGTTCGCTTTCCGTCGGATATAAATAGTGTGTCGAGTTTGGGAATCGGTGGCACTGTTATGGAGCTAAGTGTGAGCGTGAAAAACTGGTGTTTGAACGGAATGTTCGGTCGTAGCTGCGTGACGTAGGATTGCTTTGTTCGCTGAATAGCGTTGAAGTATGTGATTTCCACTTTGGCAGCTTCTTTCCAGCGATTGCAGTGGAAGATTTTGTAGATTGTTGAAGATGTTGGGAATAAGTAAATGCGGTAAAATAGGCATCCCGAGCTCAAATAGAAACAGTCGCAACCTGGCCTCCACAAGATTCAACGCAGGCTGTTATTCCTGGGTATTTATTTCCCATTGCAAGTTCTGGTATGAGACTTGTGGCATTTATTCCTGCGCACTTCTCTCCCTTGCATGATCCTGTGTGTGGACATCGCTTGCTGCTGATGACGTGGTGCGCGGTATCTCGCGTAAACCAGTCCGTTTCGGGTTCGCAAGTTAGTGTTAATGACTTCCATTCGATTCTTATTTCGTATAGTGATGTTTCGTTGTTGAGTAGTTTAAAGCAGGCCTCTCTTGTGAAAGGGTTGATTTTTAAGACCTCGGAGAGTTGGACATCGCAAAATTGGCCTCTCTGTTCTTGCCTGCAGAGTGTTGTTATATGGGAGAACAGATTTACCTGTTGGCAACCGTTACATGTGAGCGTAAATGAAATCGCGATCATTATTAGTTTGCTGAGTTTGATGTTGTGGTGCNCCTCCACAAGATTCAACGCAGGCTGTTATTCCTGGGTATTTATTTCCCATTGCAAGTTCTGGTATGAGACTTGTGGCATTTATTCCTGCGCACTTCTCTCCCTTGCATGATCCTGTGTGTGGACATCGCTTGCTGTCGATGACGTGGTGCTCGGTATCTCGCGTAAACAAGTCCGTTTCGGGTTCGCAAGTTAGTGTTAATGACTTCCATTCGATTCTTATTTCGTATAGTGATGTTTCGTTGTTGAGTAGTTTAAAGCAGGCCTCTCTTGTGACAGGGTTGATTTTTAAGACTTCGGAGAGTTGGACATCGCAAACCTGGCCTCTCTGTTCTTGCCTGCGGAGGGTTGTCATATGGGAGAATAGATTTACCTGTTGGCAACCGTTACATGTGAGCGTAAATGAAATCGCGATCATTATTATTTTGCTGAGTTTGATGTTGTGGTGCGTAGAGCGAGGTCTTCTGATTTTCCGATTCAGACTGGTGATTGCCGATCGTATTGCATGCCAAGTAAAATGAAGTATTACTCGAATTGGTTTTCCGAGAGTGAGTGGTACGTATAGTAGTACGTAGCAGCCGGTAACAATGCAATAAATAACAATTGCTGATGCCAGTAATGCACCTGTTGGCCAGCATTCGGGATTGAAAATTAGCACCGCACATAGTACACAGTTGAGGTGTTCGCAGAATGGTGACGGTGGACATGTTGTTTCGATAATATCGATTGATTGATTATCCGCGAGTTTCCATTGAATTTTGTGCAGAATTATATGCGGTGGAAAACTGACTATCTCGTAGGGTTTTGGAGTTTCTAACGTTTTACAGTAACCGTCTGCACATACCTGGCAAGGAGTGTTGCCAGGAGAAGTGAGTTGTATTCCTCCTTTGATGCACTTTATATGGCGGGTGTTGGTATGCCGGTTCGAATTTGCTGCTGAGCATTGTCCCAGAAGAGTTAATAGGGAGAGAATGTTAAGGATCAGTGAAATATTTAAAGTTGTTGCTAGTGAAGGGTTGAGAAGTTTTTTATAATCAATTCGCTGCTGGCGTCGTAAGTTATATGTACCTGTCCGCTCTCTAGGGGTTGTTTCTGTGAGCGCTGTTGTGTTGTTTCCTTCTATTGGTAATTTGTGTTGTCTAGTTGGTTGTGGAGCTGTTGTCTCGAGTTGCTGGTCTCTTTGTATGTTCTCTAATGAAGGTTCATCTAGTTCTAAGGGTGTTAAAAGATTGAGTGGTCGGCGAATTAGACGGCGTGATGGTAGTAGAATAACGGCTTCCCGTACGATGCCTTGTGAGTTCTTGACGAGTTCCTTAATTCCACCCATCTTCCATGAATATCGAGGTTGTGCCTGGTCGTTGATTAATACTAGATTGTCCTCTTTAGGCGTATATTTCGAGCTTCTTTGTGTCGAATTATTCTGATGCTTTTCCCGCAGTGATGTTAGGTAGTGCGATTTCCAAATTGTCCAAAATTTTTCTGTTAATCTGCAAGATGAATTTAAAGCCTTGATGACTTGTTCTTTTGTTCGTAGTACGACTTTCTCTTCTGATGGTAGATAGGAGGGGTCGCATGTTTAGCTGGCAAACTCATCTAGTGCAGAAAAAATTTCGAAGTCTTTTTGAAGAAAGGCGATAGGTCGGAGCGTTTCTTCTCGCGCGGATTGTGATTCTACGTATAACAGTGGCCTCGAATTAAGAAGTGCTTCGATTTCTATTATTACCGTTGTTAACTGCTCTGTTGAGAGCTTTGCGGTTCGAAGTGTTTTGTACAGGGAGTGTTTTACTGATTTGATGAGACTTTCGTAAAAGCCCCCTTGCCAAGGGGCAAATGGAGTAATATATTTCCACTGTATTTCATGGTTCGCAATTGTACGTTTTACTTCTGGATCATTTTGTATGGATTTGAGACTTTCATTGAGGATGGTTTCCGCTAGTACAAATGTTGGAGCGTTGTCACTTGTAATTGATGCGGGGGTTCCACGTCTGGCGAAGAATCGGAGTAGGAACATGAGGAATGAGGTAGTTGTGAGGTCGGAAACGATGTCAAGATGTATTAGTCTCGTCACTATACACGTTATTATTGCTCCAGAACATTTAATTTCAGTGGAATCTGATTGAATAATTGTTATTGGACCAAAATAGTCGAGACCAGTGTGCTTGAAAGGTCGTGATTTGTGAACTCTATGCTTGGGTAAGTCGCTCTTTTCTGGATATTTGTATGGTAGGTTGTTGAAGCGTTGACATGGTACGCATCTTCTGAGGATTCGTGTTACTTGTGCACGCAGTTTGGGGATCCAGAATTGTTCTCGTACGATTGACATTGTGTGGCTAACGCCTGGGTGTCCTTTTTTGTGACAATCCTCTATGATTGCTTGTGCAAGCCAAGTATTCTGAAATACAAGCAAAGGGTTTTTGGCTTCTTTGCTTAAATCGCTGTTTCGTAGTCGTCCAAAACATCAGAGCAAACCTTCCTTGTCCGGTTTGACGTTGAAATGCCTCATAGACTTGAGAATAGGCGTGGTTACTGTCGACAACTGATGCTGTCTGACTAGTGCTTTTCCAGCTATAGTAATCTCTTCGCCAGAGATGTTCGGATTCAGGTTAGCCTCCGTGGTACTTAGAAGTGTGGAGAGTTTGATACGGTGTTGTCTACGAATGTTCACTTTGGCAACTGAGATTTGAATGAAGCGTATAATTACTGCTACGATTCTTTTAACATTTGTCAGGGAGTGTTTTCCCAATGGGGTAAAGATATCGTTTCCGTTCTGCTTGTCTGAGTGATTGTGCCTTGCGAGAAACAGTTTCTGTTCTTCGTGAGGAAATTCCTAGGATATCGTGCATATTGCATTATTGTGAAGTTTCGGGTCTTTTTCCAAAGAATCTTCGTTATGCTTAAAGGTGTTGCAAATGATTTCCCAGTTGTCTGGTGGTTCTTGCAGAAAAGGTGGTCCGACCCATCAGAAGTGGTCGAGCAATTCCTTCTGGCTAAGACCACGGGTTGCACAGTCCGCTGCGTTATAACGTGATGGGACGTGACCGAAAAGTATGCGATAACCGTTCATTTGTATATGGTCGACGAGCCTTTCGATTTCCAGTAGTCTGTTGAATATTCTGAGTCCAACGTTCTTTAGTTGTTTGCGCTTTATCCAGCTAAGTACGATCTCCGAGTCCGAAAGGATGAAAATTTCTTGGATTTCTAAGGTTTTTCGGAGTTGAGTCAGTACGGCGTTGGTTAATCGCATAGCTATGGTTACCGCATCCAGCTCCATTTTTGGAACTGTTGATGTAGACTTTAAGGACGGCAGTTTGCTTTTTGCCATGAGGAGATTGGTTGAATTTTCGGAGCGTAGATAAATGCAGGTGGCCAGAGCTTCGACTCTGGCGTCGGCGAAGGTTCCTAGAATGTATTTTGTATTTTCTGTTTCAAGACAACGTGGTAGAGGCTTCGTGAAACCTTGCATTTCCGTGCATATGGCTAACCATTCGTTCTTGCAGGCTTCTGGTAGAGTATGGTCCCAGTTGTACTCGTCTTTCCATAGGTTGCGTAAGAATACCTTTGCTTTATGAAGTAAAGGTGTTAGAAAGCCCATAGGGTCGTATACCGAAGCTAATGTGCTAGCCACCGTTCGCTTAGTGATGCGTTGATTTGCTCTTGTTATGCATGTTATCAGCAGACGGTCGGAGTCGGTGTTCCATGGGTATTCCCAGTACTTTCGGTAATTGGGTGTCCTCTTTATCATCGGAGGGTATTTTTGCCATTAGGTCAATATTATTGGAAGCGAATTCGCGTAAATTCATGTTAAGGTCATTGAATATTTGTTTTGTGCGTAGGTAGCTTTGAAATGCTTCTTCGAGGTCATCGAGGGCTACGACGAGGTTGTCCACGTATAAGTTGTCTTTAACTTGCGTTACTAATTCTGCTTCTTCTTTATATTGAGCAAGATGAAAATGTATTGTTCCGGCCAAAAGAAATGGTGATGTATTTAATCCGAAAATAACTCTGGTGAATCGTAAGGTTTTAATGTTGTTCGGAAATGGTGGTAGCCTGTAGTCATGTAGCCAAAGGCATCGTGTGGCATTGCGATCATCCTCATGGAGTCGGACTTGAAGAAAGGCCTTCTCAACGTCTGATGTAATCGCGATTCGTCTTATTCTGAAGCGAATGAGGATTCCAAACAATTGTGAGAGGATTACTGGTCCTCTGTGTAATACGTCGTTAAGTGATGGGCACCCCTTGTAGTGTGCCGATGCGTCGAAAACTATTCTGATCTTAGTGGTATTTTTATTGGGAGTTAAGACTGCTTGGTGAGGAATGTAATGAATTCGGGAGCTTTGTGGCGTTTCCTGTTCGTTGATTTCTTCTAGGATGTGCAACCTGAGCTGTTCTTCGAATATACCATCGTACTTGTCGAGCAGATCTCTGTTGTTTTGTACGGATTTCCAAACACTTATGAGTCTATTGAGTGCAATTGCTCTATTATCAGGTAGTGATAGCTGTATGTCTTTCCAAGGTAGACGAACGTAATATCCGTCTAACCTTTTTCAATGGTTTTGTTGAAGGTTTCCCACACGTGCTGATCTGTCAGTGCTTTTTCCACTTTTGCGGAGTTTGTGAATTCTTCTGTTCCGGCAGATTCGAGGGTCCAAAATTGTTCCCATTTGACTGCTTCGTTCTCATCCGTCTCTGAATCTTCAGTAAGGCAAGCATGGACTTGACATTCTAGTGTTCGATGCTGCTTGCACTTATTCATTTCCTCTTCCTCGACTTGCACGTATAGTGCCCAGTATCCCATTTTTTTTTTGATCAATGATCCCATTTGTCTAGTTCATCCTTGAAATCCTGTATGGGCAATGTGTTTCCTTCTTCGCTGTGTTGTACTTGTAATAAAGCGTTATCATTTTCTTTTTATAGCATAGAAGGACTTTTTAATTGTCCTGTGCATAAATGACCTAAACGTGTTGGGATAAGATGTAGTCCGGTTGGTAGTTCAATGTGCGGTTTATCGTTTTTCATCAGGGTCCACAGTTGGTCGCATCCGAGTAGAATGGCGGGTTGGACCACGGGCCTGGTTTTACTTATCTCAATTTGGAGGTTGTTTTTTACTATGAAGTCTATGTCTTCTGGACAAATTGGCGGTGGTTTAAAAGGCTTCGTTATCGCGTTATGTGTGAACAAGAATAACGATATTTGATGGCCGTCCGCGTCCCATACCTGTAGTGGGACTTTTCGTGAAACACGTTCTTGCACATTGTTTGAGCCGAATGTGTTTAGCCGTAGTTTAATTTCTTCTATCGTCGGTAGACCCAGCTTTTGTGCAAGATTTTCGTCGATAAAGGATAACTCAGCTCCCGTGTCCAGTAAGAGGGAAACTTTCTCTAATTGTTTTGTGGTTGGGTTCATTATGGTCAATTTCCCTGTGGGTAGGAAAGTTAGCCGTAGTTTTGTGCTAGATTTCGTGAAACTTTTGTCTTTGGCCGGTGTCTCTTGTCCGACGTGGTTTATTTTGGACGTAGAAGTCGGTTTTTTAAGCTCTTTCTCTTTGTGTTTACTGGCGTTGGCCTCGTTTTTGGCGTTCGCATTCTTCGTAGGTGGCATGAACGTTTTCTCGTTTGGTGTCGGAAAGAGACAACATGATGTGTGGTGACGTTTCTGGCACTTACGACATGAGGACCCATTGCACTGAATTGTGCTGTGGGATGGAGAAGCGCAAATATTGCATAGCTTATTATTTTGAAGGTACTGGTATCTTCTTTGAGGTGTTTCGTATTTACTGCAATGGAAAGGCTTATGGTCGCCTTTACAATACATGCACCGGAGCCTTGTTGTCGGCGGCTTCCAGTGTTTGACTTTGTTGTCGAAGCTAACTGTATCTCGAGGAGGTGTTGCGCTGGTCTGACGACATACTTGTTCCTCGCTGGTTATAACCTCTTCAAAATATTTTAGAAGCTGCTGCATGGTGAAGGGTTCGTCGGGAGAAGTGATCTTTTTGTGAATAACTTTACGTTGGGTCCCGACTGGAAATTTCGAAAGAACCTTTTGATACGTGGACTGATTGTCGACATTTTCACCTTTTTGCACTAATTGCCCTATGATGGCTTCTATGTCTTCCAGTAGTCTGCGTTGCTCGTGTATGGACGACGAGTGAAGGGAGATTTTGTCCATCTTTCTGAGGAGCTGGCGAATGAGTTCTTCGGAATTGCCGTACTTATTGCTGAGGAATTCTATGGCTTTTAAGTAGTTTTGCCTAGTGAGTTGGAACTTCTTCATCGATTGTAGAGGTTCCCCTTTTAAGGAGTTAAGTAGGTAATTGAATTTTTGTAGCCCTGAAAGATTTTGTGAATGTACGTTTAAGTTGAAAAGCTCCCAAAAGTTATCCCAGTCCCAGATGTAACCGTTGAATGTTGGGATTGGGATTGTGGGTAGCTCCAGATTTTTCACGACCGCGGTGACGGTGGATTCATCTTTACTACTATTCGTAGTTTGTAGGATGTGTTGAGAAGCTCAGCTTGAGCCTTGAAGCCATGGATCCGAGCATGAAGGAGTACAAGGTATTCGAAAGTATTGGCAATGGCTTCTTCAGCAGTAGTTGAGTACTGTGCGAACTCTTCTTCAATATTCGGTGACGTTGGGTGTGACTTTTCGAACATGGTAGCGAGTTCATCTAGTGCGTGTTGAATCCTTCTAGTTATGTTTTCTAACGCTGCCACTGCTTTCTCTAACTGCTGTAGGCTTGTTTGAATAACGGTGGGCGTTATCTCATCTTGCAGGTTTTGAATGCTGATTTCTTCTAACTGCGTGTCTTTGAATCGGGTTAGAACTTTTTGCAATTGGTTAGTATACCGCGTGAGTATCCGTTTGTGACTTACCAGTGGTAGGTTGGACATGATTGAAGAATTAACGTACTTGGTTGTAACTCCCTTGACCTGATGGATCCTTTCAAGCGGCCAATGCACCAAGAATTTGTGGTGGGACGGCTCGATTATATAGGAATACCAAGTAGTTAAGACGATTCGCTCGGAATTTGTTACTCGCCTTTGTGTACGCCACGCGGGACTTCTTGCAGATAGCAGTCACAATGCCGGAAGCCCGAAACTTGGGTAATTAAACCGCTTATTACAATTATACAACAAACATAGCAATACAACTTTACAAATAATGCAACAATGATACGGGCTGTGAGTAGGCGTAACCTGATCACTGGTGTTCAGGTTGCTTGCGACTGAAGAGATTGGGATAACGGTACAACTGTGTAATTAATGCAACGGTAATACAATAATGCGTGATATTTGGCGATATG